TATTGCCCACTTATTTTTTGTGCTTTATTTTTGTTTGCTTAGGACGAACTGTTCACACTTCCTGCAAGCGCTTTCATGATTTTTCCAGTGTATTATATCACAATCTGTGACAATTTAACTTACACGTATTGTACACTTCCTAACTGCTGCGTGCCATGAACTGCATCTTTCTAGTTTTTTGGTAACAATGTATGATGTCAATTTATACTTACTTATTTCTTGTTTATTTGTCACTCATGTCTCGAGCTTACGTTTTGGCACCTTTCGCCCTTTTACTTGTTGTACATGTCTTTGTTAGCCCCCCTTCCTCAATGCCCTAACCAAGGGCCTGTAAGGTACCTGTAAATAAGATGCTTGCAATGTAACAACATGACTACATACCATGCTCACTGCGCTGGCGGGCGTTTCGCTGGCTTCATTTATACCAAATATGGTATTACGGAACGTGAATGGATGACGAAAGTATCATACTGCTGCAAACATGATAAACGTGAGATGCGTGTCATGTCACAATATGACTACATGCTACACTCATGATGCGCTCGCGGCAGTTTCGTTAGATTCACTTGTACCAAACTCGGTATTACGTGACGCGAATAGACGATCTAGGTAATAACACATCCAAACATGATAATCACAGCATGCGTGTCATGTAACAACATGACTACATGCCTCACTGATGATGCACTCGAGGCCGTTTCGCTTGCTTCACATATGCCAAATTTGCCCCACCGTGGTGGTCTAGTGGCTAAGGTACTCGGCTGCTGACCCGCAGGTCACGGGTTCAAATCCCGGCTGCGGCGACTGCATTTCCGGTGGAGGCGGAAATGTTGTAGGCCCGTGTGCTCAGATGTGGGTGCACGTTGAAGAACCCCAGGTGGTCGAAATTTCCGGAGCCCTCCACTACGGCGTCTCTCATAATCATGTGGTGCTTTTGGGGCGTTAAACCCCACATATCGATCAATCAACATATGCCAAATTTGGTATTACGTGACGTGAATAGATGACGAAGGTAAACGACACATCCAGACATGATAATCATGACACGGAAGTCATGCGCAGCATCATTTGCCTCCACCTCGTAACGTCGTGATGATTTTAAAGTGACATATATCAACGTTTCACATTCGTGCTCCAAATATCTTCGATTTCCACTGTACGTGGGATCTGCCAACTTTTTGTATGGATGAAAGCTATAACTGAAACTGACGCATGGGGTAAGCTCGCCACCTAGGTGTGTGTTTGGCGGTGACGAAATAGCACATACTCATACTATATACGCGCCGAATCAGACAGATGTTTTTTTTAAAAACGACGCGTTGAAGGAGCTAATCCTGGATGCCGTGGTCGCGATGCACAAACACATTCAGGTATTCATTTTTTCCAACAACTACCAGTAAATGGCATTGCCTATCACCCGATGCTGTACAGTGTCCAACAGTTGGTTTATTTCTACATGCTCTCAATAAACACTAACAGTTGTTTGTACAGTCATGCAGCCCAGAGTTACGCAATGCTTCCATTTTTTAGTACGTTTCAGTCAGCAAAGCTACGTCATTGTTGTAACGTTTTTCTTTAGTTTTTTTGTAAAATAATACAAAATTGTTGAATTGTACCCACTCTCAGTATGCTGTGTGACGTCAATTATGTTTCTTGTAGTAAACATTTCTGTATGCCCATTCCTGCTAAGACCTGGTAAACAGGTCAGCAGTACGTAATAAATAAAATAATAAATAAATTACTGCACTTTACCAAGAACGCTGACAGGACTGTGGTAGATATAAAGTGCGTCTTTTTTAAGGGCTGAAATGATGTGACCATCGCACAGTAGATAGCTTGCCCGGAATCTGTTGCTGCGGGCCCAGAGGTCACGGGTTCGGCTGCCGATGACGAAACTTTTTTTTAGGAGCGAAGCTCCGAAAAAAGTTTACATCACCTTGTCCCGCGTCAGACGTAACCAGCAGTATCTCCCGACCAGTATAATAGATGGCGCTGTCTCATAGAAGTACATGCAAACTGCAATTGAGTGAGGATATTCTAGATGGCACTCGACCACTGCTGTCCGAGTGGCTGCTGCGCGGGCTGTGCTTGGGTGCGCGGGGAACGAGCACCTCTCTCAGTCTCCCGAATTGTCGCCGTACGTGTCGGATCGTTCATGGGGCATGAAAGAATAAATCATTCATATAACTTCAGTCGTGAGGCACTGAATAGGCTGCTCTCTCTACCATGACCGCAAAGCACTCGCGAAGGAAGGTGGGCGAGAACAGGATAGGAGTACAGGAGAGGGTTGCGAACGGCTGGGTTGGGCGCATCTGGCTGGCATTGATATAATAGAGGAGGCATTGGTCTGAAAGACAAATGTTTTTCGGTCGTGTTTCCTCGGTCGTATCGTTTTGCAACATAACTTTGACTTTGTTTCTCATGTGACGAGGAGTACCTGTATACCAAAAAACGTCAACGCCTCTTTGAAATAATGAGAATAGGAAAGAAAAAAGAAACACCATTGCAACTTCGTTTGGTCTTCTGGTTACTCTGACCCAATTTACCATGTCGCAACACAGAAACCGGTGTGCCCCCCTCATCTTACTTAAGGAATTGCTACTTTTTATATCACAGAGTTTGATTTCAGGTATTTAATAACTCAGTGCAGTACGCTCCTGCTTGTACCAAAGCTTTTCAGAAATCATCGCTTCTTTGGAGCGAAACGACTTTATCAAATCACAACGTTGAATTGTATAATGGCTCACGCACACACAACAAAATGCACTTCACAATTACATCAGATCTCGACAACCAATAGTTGTGCTTTCTAAAAGCTTGCTTCTAGTGAACTATAGACATTTTTTTCAAGGTTAACGCTTATTTTTGTCCCCGTGTATGTTATTCGGTCACTCTTTTTCATTCCTCCCATATTATTTCCTAATCTCTTCCCTCGTACAGAAAAGTACACAGGCTCTGGGCTCCTCCATGTGGCACTTGTCAACCTGCCCCCTCCGTATTTTCCATGTGCCCCAGTAGGTTTGTGTACTCAAATTTAATAATAATAATAATAATAATAATAATAATAATAATAATAATAATAATAATAATAATAATAATAATAATAATAATAATAATCGATGGAGGCGGAAATGTTGTAGGCCCGTGTGCTCACATTTGGGTGCACGTTAAAGAACCCAGGGGGTCGAAATTTCCGGAGCCCTCCACTACGGCGTCTCTCATAATCATATAGTGGTTTCGGGACGTTAAACCCCACATATCAATCAAATCATCATGAATAATAATAATAATAATAATAATAATAATAATAATAATAATAATAATAATAATAATAATAATAATAATAATAATAATAATAATAATAATAATAATTCAACAATTTCACCCCACTGAACCATGATTCATGGTCATGTCATTGTCCGCTTTCTCGCCTCCACTAAACCATTTGTTTCGGTACACGAGTTCGCGCATCACACCGGGTGTGTTAAGCAAGCCCTTGAACCCCCGGCGACCCCTCGTTTATGGGCGGAATGAATCGACAGGCAGGTGCGTCGGCCACGCAAGGCAAGTTCGCATCGCATCTCGTCGCCGACGTTCTGCCCAGGCTGAGAGGAGGAAACTCGGTGGGCAAGGCCGCCAGCGGGGACCTTCTTCTCTTCGCGAGGAAGTGGCTCGTCAATGCAACAGCCAAAGGGGTGGAAGCGGTGGCCGAAGGGAAATTTCTCCCTGAAGACAAGCAACTACGATAGAGAGAAAAGAAAATGCAGATTGGTTGCTGCCCGCTGTGCGCCGGCGAGGGTCTGCCTTGCCCATCGGATTAACAGCCGTCTGGGTGGAACAGCCCGGTTCGGTTCCTACACGCTCCACGTCGGACGAGATGTTCGCTATGCAGTCCTGTTTTTGAGGTAGCCTGCATGCTCTCTGTGCGCTGCTTGGGGTGAGGAGTAAGTCACGTTCGGTGGCGTTTGATTATGGCCAATGCGGAGAAGATGCAGTGCCGTTGACGCCGAAAAGTGCGACGTGGCCTAAGGTATACTGAGAGTAATGATGTGCTGCAGAGGTGCACAACAGCACAAAAACCAGGGAAAAAAACACTATGCAGACATTGACACAGCATAAAGTAAAATGGTGCAGGTAGTAGCACAGACAGTAGCGGGCAGGCCACAACGAGGTTTCCGGTACAACTTGTGTGCGTATTCGTGTTCTTGAAAAAAGCTCCTTTTTTCAAGCTGGACATCAATAGAAAGAGAAAAAATGTTTGAGCGGATGGGCTACTCCAACTGGTTTCGGATGTAGCTTTTATTTGTGCATATTTGACAGCCTGTGCAATTAAGCTACTGCTATAAGTATAGACGAAACACAGTGCGGAGAGCTCTTGGGTCGAATTTACAGACGTTCTCTTTCCATAATAGTTTTTCCCTCATCGCGATTGGCTAAAATATTTTCTAAGAGAAAATTTTTACCTTAAGATGTTTTTGGGAATACGGGACCTGGATCATTGTTACTCTGCAGCTGAATGGCATTACGTGTGTCAGTCCCCGAAATACGCTTGACATGCTTGACTCCACATGCATGAAGTTCCGGCGACATCCTTTCTCTATAAAATATAAATAAATAAACGTGTGTGTTTGGCATCCCAGCCACGCTATAAAAAAACTATATCCCGCACTCGCATGCAGACAGCTTTACCAAATAACTTCGTGATAGGAAATTGAGCATATGTGTTTTCCCGCCCCTCGCTCATTTAATCCTCCCATCCTTCGAAAGAAAGAAGGTGATCGCCGAGGTAAGAAACGGCAGCGCGCCGTTCCCTCCTCTTCTTCGGGAGCAAAAACCTGTTTGGAATGCCGTAGCGTCAGATGGGGCCGACCGTCGCAAACGCTGTACGGTCAGGTCCTCCGCCCTTACGTCCCCCCCTCAGACCCCCTCACCCTCTTACCGTCTTGGCCGGCGGGGCCGCGAGGACCGACGCCGCCGCGGGAAGCCCAAGAAGCGAGAACGATAATGCCGCGCGAGTTCGGCTGGCCCAGCCGTCGTCGGGTCCCATGGAGACCGCCGAGACACCGTCGCCGCCAGGCCTGACGCGTTCGTTGCCGTGCCTTGGTTCGAGCCGTGCGGTGCAGGACCGCAGTGCGTTACCATGAGGATTACGTCGTTCGCCGGCGGGTGCATCGCCGCGCTGGCCGTGGCGTGGCACCTGGTCGTCGTCTGCGGAGCGAGCGCCGCTGGCGCTGGGAGCCCAGGTGAGCAGGTTTCCGCCTCTTGCTTCCAAGCAGCGGTGCTGCCGTGCCCCCCCCCCCCTCCGCGGGTCGCCCCTGGGAATGCAGACGTGAGCCGCGCGAAATGGCCGGCGCTGACCGCTGGTCGCTTCTCGGCGCAAGGGTGTCACGACGCCGGTGTCCCTCCCGGTCGGTCATTTGGTGTCACGCCGTGCGTCACGAGCTCGTGCATTTGCCCGATGGACGTCTCAGTAACAGGAGTGTTGCTTGCGTCATCGGTGCCACGAACTGAAGGAGATTCCAGGACTGCCCCAATGGCGAAAAAAAAACAACGAAAAACGAGGCATTTAAAGCGCGAAATCGGACTAGTTGGGACTTCTTCAGTGACATTTACCCTTGCCAGAAGGAAAATTTGAAGATGGGACAGAGAACAAAATATAGGACAGTAGAACGCTCCATGGTTCCTATCCAATGCTCCTTCTGTTTTGCCTTTTCTTCTCTGCCCATATTTAAGCATCTTAACGCACTGGAAAATGCCGCGTTAACAATGAAGTAGTGTTTTGCCTCAAAGTGTTCAACGCAATGTATACGTTTAACAGGACATAGCTCCCAAGAAGCTAAATACTTTCCCGAAATGTAAACGATCAGATAACCTCAAGGGCTATCCTAATGCATTATAAGGCACCTATTTCGGACTATTTTGTCTAGTGCGTTCCAATTTCTAGAAGTCCGCTAGGTTGCGTTGTCCACATTACCTTTTACAGAGATGAAGCACTACTTTAGCATCGTTATACGTTGCTGTCACTTTGGAATTGATGTTATGTAATCGCAAATAAACTATAGTTTTGCCGTCAGTTCGATTGCGTGGGACATCGTATCGTCCTTAAAGTGGAACAGAACCAACAATAGCGGGTTACTACAACTTTTATAAATCGCCGCTTCAAGGGCATGCAAGGATCCAAATAAGCGAAGCAGGACAGACCAAATGACAACGGGGCTACTGAAATGGAAGTGACGAAATCGACCCTGTGGGACCTTTAAGCTGTAACCAGCGCCCTTCAAAGCCTCGATCGAAAAGTTGCAAATGCAAGGATGTGTCTTACTAAACTACTATATTTTGAAGACTGGTGACCGACTTTTTGTATAAAATTACAAAACCATGCCAACTAAAGCTGTAAGCTTCATTAATCACTGCCGCTGTAGGAGACGAAACATCGTGTCAAACTTTGCTCGCAGTTGCCGTGTGCCTTATGAAATTCAGCTCAAATATATTTCTTTATCTATCACCGTGTGGTACTTTTTCTTTCTTTCTTTCTTTCTTTCTTTCTTTCTTTCTTTCTTTCTTTCTTTCTTTCTTTCTTTCTTTCTTTCTTTCTTTCTTTCTTTCTTTCTCTCTTTCTTTCTCTCTTTCTTTCTTTCTTTCTTTTTTTTTCTTTCTTTCTTTCTTTCTTTCTTCAGTGCCTTGATAAGCAAAGTCAAGTGCACCTCAACGTATACGGCCACGGTACGTGGTGTGAGTTGTGATTGTCAACGACCAGAGATTAAAAAGAGATAGTCGCTTGAAACAAACAGCAATTCCTTTACACGCCATCGCTACCTCAAGGATGGGCAAACGGATAAGTTGCCTCCATCCTGGAAAGCTCGCGTTTACACACTTAATTTGCCCTTGACCGTAAGCGTGCTTCTCGCTAAAGGACGGGCGTTTGTGACGCATACTAAGGGTGTTCCTAATTGATTTTGTCATTGTAGAAGGGAGTCTTTAATGTGGCTATACATGTCTTGAACTCATGTCACGTTGCAAAAATGTGACGAAGCAAGTGATGCAAATTTAAAGAATAGACGCGGAATCTCAGGGCGGAAAAATGAAATGCGTTTGTCGTGAAGCTGCTGGACCGAAAAGCGACGAAGAAAAAATGTCAAGAGAGACATTGCAACTAACATTTCATTATTGATGTGTGAAGGAAATGGTGCACTTTCTTTTTTGTTCGTAAGTTTTGTTTGTCATTTACAGGTAGCCTCACTAGTGAAACGTTCAATATGGGGTGTCACTGTTGTACACTACTCTTACAAATATTTCTTGCGTAAGAATGGTGTGTGAATATGGACCCGAATTGAGAATGCAGTGAAATATAAATAAAATACACATATTCGTGCGGTGGGATTTCGAATTTCTTGGGCAATCTGATTCAAAATTGCTATACAAGTGAAGCGAGCGTTAAAATTGACCGTGAACTTGATGTTTCTTCCACGGCGGCGTACACTAAAAAATTTATGCATCTTCAGGCAACTTGCACTTTACGTAATATCATAATTATCATAAAATTAACTTTATGCTTCATCATCCTGCTTTGCTTCAGGTTTTTGGCAATAGCCTTTTTTGGCACATGAGCCAACTTCCTAATTAGAAATGTAATCATACTATTCCCCGATTCATGTTAATAATCACATAACCTTACTAATGCAGACAGAGTAAACATACTAATAGACATAGTGACTTTTCTGCCATATTAATTTACCCATCAAGGTTTTTAAATGTAGAAGGTCGGGCGCCATCATCGTTCGCAAGATTATGATTGGGCTAGTCCAACTTAATATTCCAGCAAACGACAGATGCGACGTACGTAACCAAGCAGCAGACTGGACGTTACCTTTAACTGTAGACTTCTGAAAAATTCGCTCGCAGATCACGTCATATATCAAAATGGCATGGGGATGTTTTCATTTTTTGTAATTGATGCTGTATTATCATACATTCTGGTAAATAAAATGCAGTTAGCATATGTGGGGAGTGCTAAAATAGTAAATTTACAACGGCTCACGTTGTCACTTAGAGTGATAGAGAATCGATAAGCTGCAAGTGTAACTATTACATGAATGCCCATCTGAAAATTCGAAACCCCAGACGAAATTATTAGGTCCTCGTCACATGAAAGCCACCTAACCAGTAGCTACTGGCAAGCCTAGTGATCATCATAACTCCGGTTATTGCAACGAAACAATGCTACATATAACGTCTATTGAGCAAAAGAAGGTTGCTCGTTTAATTTGAAGTAGTTGCATAGCGAGAGTATATATAAACGCAGCGGGGGGTCGTCGTACGACTCACACTAGCTCTGTACGTAGAGCGCAACGATACAAGCACGGGTTCTTATGTACAGCTAACGTCTAATGCTTATGAACCACGACACACACGAAAAAGCTAGTTATTCACGCTGATTTAACATAAAGCTTTGTCATTCAGGTTTTCAGTCTGTTTTCAGTCAGGTTGTCAGTCAGACCGAATACAATCTCAAATTACCGGGAAAATCAAATTTTTCGCAGACCTGATGGTCTTTAGGTCACTGAAGCTAACTGTACATTTTGCATGCACACTTTTGTCACAGGCCTGGCTTACTGGTGTTGGACCATCCACGTTTCGATTAAGAGCAGTGTGCAAGCAAGCGTGAGCATTGTTCGCGATTTGTGTGTGTGTGTGTGTGTGTGTGTGTATGTGTGTGTGTACGTATGTGTGTGTGTGTGTGCGTGTGGGTGTATGTGCGTATGTGCATGTGGTTGTATGTGTGTGTGTGCGTATGTGCGTGTGGGTGTATGTGCGTATGTGCGTGTGGTTGTATGTGTGTGTGTGCGTATGTGCGTGTGGGTGTATGTGCGTGCGTGTGCGTGTGCGTGCGCATGTGCGCGCGTGCGTGCGTGCGTGTGTGTATGTGTGTGTGCCTGTGCCTGTGCGTGTGCGTGTGTGTGTGTGAAAAGAATCAAATAAAATCAAATGTCCATGCTGATGCGCTTATCCATCCACGACTTCACGTTTCCAGGCTGCTTCTATTCCCAGATTTATGAACACGTTTAACGCGACCTGCATCTTCTTTGCCATTGTCCGCCTCCGTTGGGGTAGAAACCATGTTGTCTGAATCTCTACGTAGTATTTATAATTGTTCATTATGTGATAGGAATCTCCCATTCATCTGCGAGATTGAGGAGACGTTTTCTCTCTCATTAGCCACTTTTTGAGAAATCGAAAGGATAAGAGCACCGCAATAAAACATGGTACATGGACGGCACACGCACGCACGCACGCACGCACACACACACACACACACACACACACACACACACACACACACACACACACACACGCACGCACGCACGCACGCACGCACGCACGCACAACAACCCCTTCAATACAAGTGAAGTTATTTACTCCTGTATCACTGTCATCAGCTCCAGGACCTTGGCGATTACACGAAAAAAGCCGGAAGTAAAACAAAAAAATGGCAAATCCTACGTACATTGGGAATCGATAGTATGCGAAGCACAAATGAGGAATGTTGATATGTCACTCTAAAATCAGCACATAGTTACGAGGTGGAGGTAAATGATGCCGTACATGACTTACGTGTCATGATTATCATGTTTCGATGTGTCGTTTCCCTTCGTGATCTATTCACATCACGTGATACCAAATTTAGTATATGAGGAGCTAGCGAAACGGCCATGAGCACGCCATGAGCGTTGTATATTGTCATTTTATAAAATGCCACACTTGTCAGCATTATCATATTTGCACCATTCAAATACTTTCGTCATCCATTGACGTCACGTAACACCAAATTTGGTATATGTGGAGTTAGCAAAACGGTCGCGAGCCCACCATGAAGGGCTCAATATACTCCAATGTAGCGTTGACGCGTGCGCACGCTGGACACAGCGACGCTACATTAGCGAAACGCGAGCACTCTGACGCCTGGCGCGACCGGCACCATCAGCGTCCGTCGGCACGGCCCGACGGCAACCAACGCGAAATGCGACATGCTGCGTTTCACGCTGATGCGTTACCAAGACAACACTGCGTTTCCCTCTTTTCATGACGGAGGGACGCCGGACGCGCTGAAACGCGCATGCGGCTAAGGAACGCTACACGGCGCGCGCCTGCGAGTACATGGCAGGACCGGTGCCTGGCGTGGCAATGCCGGCGTGACCTGACGAAATGAACGCCGGCGAGCTCGCGCACCGCGTCACGTCGAAAT